CAAATGGGTATAAAAGAAACTATGAAGACGTCAAATAACATTGATTGTAGTTTTCTTGATATAAAAATTGAATTACTCACTCTCTCCCCTTTTCTGAAGATGCAGTCTGTCCTTTCTGAGAAATAACTGTTTCTCATACAATCCCATCAAGTTTGCATGTACCAATGCCATCTCACTAGTGCAAGTGACCAATTTCAGTTCACAATGGATCACACTGATACGTCTAAGAGTCAAAGGGATCACACAAACAAGACTAGTGTCTGCAAATACTAACTGATAGAATAAAAAAGGGAGAGAATGATCCAACGTGGGAAGCGAGATACTCAGCAGACTCATAGAATGGCAGATGTCCTAAACAGCACTCTGGCCTCAGAATCAGCCCTTCAAGACACTCTGGCAAAAAAAAAAAAAAAAAAAAAACACCTAAATGAAAGATCTCTGCGAGTGAGATCCCAGTAGAAAGAATGGGCCATCAAAGAAGGAGGTACCTTTCTCTGAAGGGAGGAGAGAACTTCAACTTTGACTATGACCTTGTCTAATAAGATTGAAGTTGGCAAACTCAAAAGGCTTCCATAGCCTGGGCAACTCATGACTAGAGCCTGGGGAGATTACTGACGCCATAAACAAGAGTGTCAAATTGTTAAGTCTACAACAGGAGTCACTGTGTACTTATTCATCATGTGGGATCTCTGTCCTTAATGTGTTGTCCAATGTGAATTAATGCTATAACTAGTACTGAAACAGTATTTTACACTTTATGTTCTGTGTGGGTGCAAACTGATGAAATCTTTACTTAATATATACTAAATTGATCTTCTGTATATAAAGATAATTGAAAATGAATCTTGATGTGAATGGAGTGGGAGAGGGAGAAGGAGATGGTAGGGGTGCGAGTGGGAAGGAAGTTATGGGGGGGGCCATTGTAATCCATAAACTGTACTTTGGAAATTTATATTTACTAAATAAAAGTTAAAAAAATATAAAAAAGGAGTCAAAAACCATGAGTCTTCCATGCTCATGGATTGGAAGAATCAACATCATCAAAATGTCCATTCTCCCAAAAGCAATTTATAGATTCAATGCAATCCCAATCAAGATACCAAAGACATTCTTCGCAGATCTAGAAAAAATGATGCTGAAATTCATATGGAGGCACAAGAGACCTCGAATAGCTAAAGCAATCTTGTACAACAAAAACAAAGCCGGAGACATCACAATACCAGACTTCAGGACATACTACAGGGCAGTTGTAATCAAAACAGCATGGTACTGGTACAGAACAGATGGATAGACCAATGGAACAGAATTGAAACACCAGAAATCAATCCAAACATCTACAGCCAACTTATATTTGATCAAGGATCTAAAACTAATTCCTGGAGCAAGGACAGTCTATTCAATAAATGGTGCTGGGAAAACTGGATTTCCACGTGCAGAAGCATGAAGCAAGACCCCTACCTTACACCTTACACAAAAATCCACTCAACGTGGATTAAAGACCTAAATCTACGTCCTGACACCATTAAGTTATTAGAGAACATTGGAGAAACCCTTCAAGATATTGGCACAGGCAAAGAATTTCTGGAAAAGACCCGGGAGGCACAGACAGTCAAAGCCAAAATCAACTATTGGGATTGCATCAAATTGAGAAGTTTCTGTACTGCTAAATGTTCTTTCATAGCAATAAATGTTAACAATTCTACTGTTGTTTTCCCTTTCATATGGTTTGATAAGGTTTAATTTGTTTAAACTGGCCCATGAAATTTAAAATCTGTGAGAAGTTGGTAGGGCATAACGAGAGATGCCAGATAAGACATAGAACATCTAGTTAAATTTGATTTGAGGCCATGTATCTACTTATTTATTTTAATTGTAAGACATTTAGTAAAAAAATAAAAATTACACATATTCCAGGTATAAAATGTAATGATTTGATATACATATACATTGTATATTAATTACCATAACCAAATTAATTAATACATCCTTCACCCCTCAAAGTTACCCTCTTGTTAATGTGTATGTGTGATGAAGACACTTAAAATCTACTCTCTTACCAAATTTCAAGTAGTTGATGCAATATTATTAACTATAATCACCATGTATATTAGATATCTAGAACTCATTAATCTTATAACTCAAAGTCCATACCTTTTGGCCAAACTGTTCCCATTTCATCCACTTCTCTACCCTCTGGAAACCACTGCTCTTCTTACCCTTTCTATGTTTAATTATTTTAGATTCCACACCTAGGTGAGCTTATACAGTAGTTGTCTCTCTGTGTCAGACTTCACATCACTTAGCATTATGTCTCTCGGTTTCCACTGTATTGTTACAAATGGCAGAATTCTCTTCTTTTCAACATTGAATAATACTCCATCGTACGTTTATGCTACATTTTGTTCAAGCACCCATCCATCAATAGGCAGTTGAGTGGCATCCACCTCCAGGCTACTGTGAACGATGCTGCTGGAAACATTGCTGTTCAACTATCTCTTTAGGTTCAAATATTTTGGGTATAGTCCTACAAGTGGAATTACTGGTTCCACAACAGATACCCCATCTTACACTTTCATCAGCAGGGCACCAGGGTTCTGATTTCTCCACACTCTCACTAGCGCTTGTTCTTTTCTGGGATTTGGTTGTTCTTGTTGTTGTTGTAAAAACTATCCTGAGGGGATGAAGTGGTAGCTCAGTGTGGTTTTGATTTCTATTTTCCTATTGACTGGTGCTGTTGAGTATCTCTTCATGCGCTCGCTTATTGGCCCTTGGCACATTCCTTAGAGAAGTGTATATCCCAGACCTTTGCCTTAAATTTCAGATAAGCAGTGAATGATGTTCTAGCATGAGTGTGTGTATATGTATATCTATATAGAGATATATCCCACAAAAGATGTGCAGTACATACACACACACACATATATAAAGATAACAAGACATAGATAGATACAGATATAGATACAGCTCTAGATCCCACAGAATATTGCAAATGTATATATGCTGAAAAAATTATTTATCCAAAACTAAATTTTAACTTAGTCCCTTGCATTTTCATTTGATAAATCTAGGAACACCAGAAAGTGAGAACTGTGATGGATCTAAAATAATCTCTATATATTTCACAATTCTGCTAAAAATGAGCCCTGAAACACTTTAGTGTATTTTTGTGGGTGTTTGGCTGGTAGTCCCGCTTTATTAAAAATTTGTAATTTCATTTTGAGATCCTCCAGACTAAATCATTTGAGCTTCACACTCTTTGTGTAACATTATTGAACTCCCTTAATGAAATTATAACTCAAGCAAGATATTTCATTCTCTTGTAGTAAATTAGCTTGGGCTGTGAGGGTTTGGGGAGAACCAGTATTTCCCTGGGTTTATTCCTCTTGTTTGGTAGAACGAAGAAGGAGCAGGCATTTTATATTTGAGTTATTTATTGTTCTCTTTGTGTGCACCTTATATTGTTGCCTGTCTCTACTGGAAACAACAGCTGTTAACAGGCTCCTGGATGAATTTCAATGTGAACTCCCCTGGCCTCTGGCTAAAGAGAAAACAGGCTCAGCCTCAAAAGAAAAAGAGCAAGTCTCAGACTGAGTCTGAACACCTAAAGGCTAACAGCGTATAAAACCAGGACTTAGCGTTTTCATGAGAAATCGCACTTAGATCGTCCTGGTACAGTAATGTAGACAGTTCTCTCCTCTCATGACAAGAACAGACAAGGAACGGTGTGACACAAACACAGAAACCTTACTAAAAACTCTGGCCCTCTGGGATCACCTGCCTCAGAAGGTGATGGAAAGTGACTGAGTGCTTGCTGGCCAGAGCTGGGGGCACCTTAAACAATAATGACATAAGAAATGGCTCTACTAGGACCGCATTGGATAAACAGGATAAGTAATAGTTTTTTAAAAAACAAACGTGATCAGGATCCATAATGGAGCATAATGAATGGTGAGACTGCAGGGGAATTGGCGAGCTGTGAAGAGGCTGGAATCTGGGACCTGAGGTGGGGTGGGAGGCTCCTTGCACTGTGTTTTTTGCAGGCTCTCTGCTAACTTCTACAGGTGAACAAACACTGTGAATTTCTGGGGTTTCACTGGATTGGAGGGAATCTCCAAAACAAGGGCATTTTCTTTTGGGTCCTTTTATTGAGTCATTTTTACTTCTCCCATTAGTGCTTGCAATCTACCCTTCTTTAATCTCCCGTTTAAGAAGGAATGGTAGAGACCATGATACGGGGTACAGGGGAGGGGAGGCATGTTTTGTTGGTCAGGGGAGGTATTTCCTAGTTTGGTTCATTTTCTCAACTATGCTGTGCTCAGAGCATCTGGTACGCAAGATGCCAGAGTGACCTAGACATTGATTACCCAGCCACCAGTGCTGTAGGCAAAGAACAGCCTCTTGGATTCCACCCACACAGTCAACTATACTTCCTCATTGGCAGGAAGTCTTCTGCCTCCCATTGCCCCTAACTCTCCTCTTCATCAGCTCAAGCACCTCTTAGTGACTTGGCTGTAGCTTTGATAAGTGCTTTTCATTTCAGGCCCACACAGCAAATTCTATTAAGAAAACAAATAGTTTTTGTTTTATTTGTATAATTCTCTTCCAATTCCTGAGTTTTTCACTTACTTTGGTCCTCCCTGCGACGTGACCTTAATATATCAGGCTCTGCCCCACCCTGCATCTTGTAAGGAGATGCAAAGTTGTTACCCTGAAGAGCATTACTTGAAGTTTTGAGGGACATGGACCAAGAGGAGGGGAGATGCCAAAAAATAAGAGAAGAAAAACGGAAATCATAAAGTTTAAAGTTGACTGGAGAGAAGAATTTGACAAAACGCTGTCAGAAATTCAATAAACGACTGAGCCAGAATGAAGTAGCTGAAGCCAAAGTGACCTTTCCACCTCCCCTGTGCAACCTCTCTGTAAGAAGCACATATGAAAGCAGTGAGTTCTTCTGAAACTCGATGTCCAAAGCCCATTTCCTGTTCTTCTTTTCTTTGCAGACAAAGTAAGCATATTGTCCACCTTCCTCGCTCCCTTCAAGTACCTAAGTCCTGGCACCACAAACACGGAGGATGAAGACAATCTAAGTAAGCAGCACCCCTTCCCCAAAGGATGGCGACGCCCCCACTCCATATGTGGACAGGGTGTCTTCCACTGTTCCCCAAAACTGAGACCCTTGGGGTGTGGGGGAGGGGCTGCTGGTCTTCCTATCCTTGCCTAAAATCACATCCTCCCCAGCAGTTCTGTCCTCACCTGGTGACCCTTCGTCACCAGCACTCTCATTCTCACCTGTAATCCTATCCTCACCTGAAGTCCTATTCTTACCTCACCTGTAGTCGCAACCTGTGTGAAGTCCCATACTCATCTGCAGTACCATTCTCACCTGCTCGCCCATCCTCACTAGGAGGTCTATCCTCACCTGGAATATCGTTCTCTCTGGGTCCCTATCCTCACCTGCAGTCCCACTTTCACCTTTAGTAAGTCACTAAGTTGGAATTTACCCTCCACTCATCCTCACCCAGAACCCCATCTAAATCTGCATTCCCACCCTTACCTGGAATCCACCCTTACCTGCAGTCCCAGCCTCACCCCAATCTCATCTGCATCCAGTTTCCCATTCCTGCCTTTAGATCCGTCTTTACCTGCAGACATATCCTCACCTTCAGTGTCATCCTCACATGGAATCCCTGCACCTGAAGTCCACGCTAGCCTGGCATTTACCTTACCTGCACTCCCATCGTCATCCAGAGTCTCATCATGCCCGGTGTCCCATCTCCACCTGTCATCCATCCTCACCCACACTCATATCTGCACCTGCAGTCCCGTGCTTAGCTACAGAACCACTACTATCCAGAATCTGTCCGCATGTCAGGCCATCCTCACCTGGAATCCTATCCTCATCTCGAGTCATGTCCTCATCTGCAGCCCCACCTCTCCTGCAACCCTATGCTCACTCGGACTCTCATCCTGACTTAGGGTCCCACCCTACCTGCATTCCCAATCTCACCAGAATCACCTGAAGTTCCACCCTCATCTACAGTCTCATTTGTCTGCTCTTCAGTTAGAATCTCATTCTTACTGGAGTTCCACCCTTACCTGAAGGGGAAGAAGTATCAGTAACGTCCTTGTGACTGAGAATCCCCGGGTTTACAGGAAATAAACCCACTTTCTTGTATGACTCCTTTTCCCTTTCCTTTGTTTTCCCCTCCACTAAAAAGGAAAGAAGATGAATGAGATCACAGTGTCTTAGAACATGGTTTGTACAACTATTTCACAAGGAAGGAGCTGGGCTGTAGTCTCCCTTGTGAAATGCCTCTGGTGCATGTACCTGGACAGGAGCCAAAAACAGCATAGCCAGGTCATGATGCTTTAGGGAAGGGGTTCTGAGACCAGTAAGGAGAGCCCGGAGTGAACAGCACTCGTGTGTGTGTGTGTGTGTGTGTGAGAGAGAGAGAGAGAGAGAGAGGAGAGAGAGAAGAGAGATTATTTGGGGAGTATCAGGCTTAACCTGATGCACCACCATGCTGGCTCCAGGAAATATCATTTTCAATCAATGAATGCATTGTCCTCCTTTATATAGATACTTTTGATTTTCTTAAAAAAAATTCTAATTTCATAGATTGTTCAAGGAGATCTGTCCAAATGAACTGGACATGCCTAACTAATTCTCTCCAGCATCACAATTGTAGTCTTATCAATTTGTTATCCAAATACCCCTGGAAGGTAGAAACAGACTTCTTTGTGCATGTAGAGTGTGTATATACTAATATACTGAGTGTGCACGAGTGTACAAATGGGGTGTGTGTGTGCCGTGTCTGTATGTGTGTATGTTTGCAGTATATGTGTGGTATTGTATCCATGTCTAGGAGGCTCCCACCATCACGAGGTGGAGGATAGGCTAAGAGTCTTTCATTCCATTCCAGATGTTTAAGACTTGTCTGCCTTGGCGGTTAACTCTGAAAAGTTTTCTTGGGAACACTGAGGAGCAATGAGCTGCTGTCCAATTTGCACATGTCACTCCCCACTGACTACTAGCAGGTCCCACTAGGAATGACTCAGGCCAAAGCTGTTAGCCTGCCAAGTTCACATCCTGTGCCCTTGGGGAGCAGGTGGGAGGAAGTCTCCCTGCCTTTTGTAGTTTTTTCTCCCTGAGTCCTACAAAAAAGCAGGCACAGCTTCATGGGGTCGTGTGTGATTAGTCTTTGAAGGAGACATCGTGCAGAGGCTGTCCATCCCAATGCATCATCATGCCCCTATGTAAAGCACCAGCACCATCCTGCAATCCACAAACCCCAGCCCAAAGACTCTCCTGGCTTGCCTTCTGACACAGCTGGCTGGTGTCAGACCCACTACACACCGTGTCCTTCTTCTTGTCTGGGTAGGGAATCCAGGCTGCCTGCCTTTCTCCCATCAGTCAGTCCATGTTGAAGCAAGATTGCTCTTTTTTCTTTACCACTGGAGCTGTTTGGCAGCTGAATAACCTTCAGCAGGAACAATGTTATCTCTTCCAATGCAGCGTGGCACATCGCATGGCTGATTCTCTGGAGCCCTTCAGACCCATGGATACGGTCGGTGTTGTCATTAGTGATGCAGGTGACCCCAATATTGCCAGCCCGTGAGGGGAAGCCAGGAGTGCATAATGACCAGGCAGAGGATGCCGGCACTAAAGGGAGCCAGTGGGGGAGGAAGAGACATAAAGTCACAAGCAAGCACAGGCATCTAAACACCATCAGAGGCAATGAGACCCCATCCAAGGACCCCCAACCTACTACACTTCTGAGCGACAGCAGCATAGGTCATCAAATTAGTGAACCCAGAAGAATATATTTCACATGGAAAACAAACATTTAAGCACAGCCATGACTGTAAAATGCTGTTCTTTCTCCCCAAATGCAATTCTTCAATGCGTGAAACCCTTCAACTTAGCAGTACGTTTGCTGACACTGTTTGTCAAATGAGCTAATGTACTTAGGGAGCTCAGGAGAGAAGTCCATGTGAGAGAAGCACAGTGGAAATCATTTCGTTTTACAGTTTCCTGTACAGATGCTTCCCCGACTTCAACATTTTCTTTTAGTTCCTGGCAGTCTTCAAATTGCTCATGATTGTTCTGTTACTGATGCTTATGGTATTGATCTAATGCAATTTGAAGTTATTTGCCTGCTTTTTTTTCTAAATAGAAAGACACATGCAACTCTTTGGAAAGGCCTTAGCTTATGGATGCCACAGTTCATGGATGTCTCATTTTCTGATATCTTGAAGGACATGATGATCTGCTGGTGTCTGAGGCAGGAGGCAGGTGCACATGGCTGTGGTCACTTGGGGCACCACCCACACAGCCTCTCTGGGACTGGGTTTCATGATGCAAGGTGTTTGGAATCCAAATCAAAAATTTTCAAGTGAGCAGAAATGTAATCCAACTCCCAATGTGGGCAGTGAGGTTGGTATGTGTTGCCTGGTCCCCACATCTGGGTTGCCATAGCATTGTGCCCTCTGTCTGCCTCCCAGCATTTCCTGCAGAGCTGATGTGTTCTCTGTCTCTCTCTCCTCTCTGGCTCTCTCCCTCTCTCTCTATGTCTCTAATATGCACTCACTGTTTCCCTGCTAGAACCCTCTGGGCATCGATAGTGACGCATGGCTTCCATACAGAGTGCCTTAAAAGGTGGAGTGTGTGTGTGTGTGTATAAGAGAGAGAGACAGTCAGAAGAGAGACAGACAGAACAAGAAACACAGAACGAAAGAGCTAGATGAGAAATAGAGAAAGATGCATAGAGCGAGAAAGAGACACGGCCGGGGTGGGGACTGGGGATGGCAAAACTTTAAGCGAACCCTGATTTGTAGCTGGCATGACAGGTAGTTCCAGTCTGCCCCCTGGGTAAAGAAATGTATTTCTTGCAGAATTTCTCCCAGCTCTAACATATTATAAGTCTGCAAGTTATGATTGGCAGGAATAATGATTATTTGGGAGAATGAATTCCAGACTAGGATGAAAGGATTCACTAATTTTTCTATCTTGTTATGAAGTGTCTGTCTGAATTGCTGCATATATACAACATGCATACTCAGAATTAAATCACTTTTGTCACATAGGTCCCCCAATCCTATAATCCCAGAACTTCTGGGAGAATCCTAGGAGGCAATTCCCAGCATCTTCCTCTTTGCTACCTCAGTCTTCAGTGATCATGATCCACCAACACAGAACAACAAAACACACATTCTGAGTGCATGTGATAGGCCATGTCAAACTTCTACACACATAATCCTCACACACTCCATACTGGACCATCTATTTGGGAACCACATGGTAAGTGTATGAGGTTCAGAATCCCCTATCAGCTGGAATTCACACTGTGCTCCTGAGACAAATATGCCCACGCACAATTCTGTGGAGTTTGGAAAGTGCTTTCCAGGAGAAGACTGAGTCCTGGAGAGTGACAGTCAGAGAAAAGCTTGGGCTTGCCTGCACTGGATCAGACTTAGAGGAGCTCAATGCTCAGCTCTGTGAGCTCATTGCTCAGCTCTGCAGAAGAAAGAGCAGAACTGGCCAGCTCTTGGGCTAAAGAGCAGAACTGGCCATCTCTTGGGCTAAAGAATAGAACTGGCCATCTCTTGGACTAATCAGTCTGTGTGAAGTTGAGTCAAAATTTACCATTGTCTATGTGTTTTATTGTATACATTTAAGGTGTCAGCATGATGCTTTGATATCCATATGGAAGAGCATCAAAAATTTTGTGGAAAAATGGAAACAAAAGCTAAATATATATTAGTGCAAATTTTGAAATCCAATAATAGTTTACTCATAACATGCAGTTTTATGAACTTTTTGAAGATTTCGCATCAAACTAAATCTATCTCCTAATTATATAATGTCAACTTTTTTAGATACCCTCCTATATATAATGAGATAATGGCTATAATAATCAAGCAGATTAACCCAGCCATCACCTTCCATTTTGTCATATGTGTGTGTAGGTATGTGTGTGTACATATGTGTACATATGTGTACGTGTGTGTGTGTGTGAGAGAGAGAGAGAGAGAAAGCACCAAAAATCTATTCTCTTATTCAGTCAATGGATATATACCGAATGGG